AGCGCACCAGGCCGCGAGCCGCGGGGTCCACACACTCGGCCTCGGCCACCGCGGCAGCAAGCGGAAAGCAGAGGGATAGTAGAACCTGCTATCCCGACCACTCCCTCCATGGCGGCTACCGGGGACCCCAGCCACAGCCAACGGCCCCACCACCAGCACGCAGCTGCGAATCGCACACAGCGGGGAGAACCCCGACCCCCAAGGCAGTACCGCCAGCGGCTCCACCTCAGGCCTCACAAAGCACTTGTTACGTGGCTGGAGAATGGCACACCACCAACCTTCCCACCCACGTTCCCACTGCGGCGAAACAATAACTTGGTGTGCCTCTATCGGGGAAACGGACGCTGGGATATGCGGGTCATACTGACCTCGCGGGGGGGCCGCCCCTTTGTGGCGCAAGGGACATATCCACAAGTCCTCCTCGACCCGACCAACACCGCCGGCCATGATCTCTTTCTGCCAGAAGGTGTGTCCATGTTGGCGAGAAGTGGGACCTGACGACATCCTTGCTGCCCAGGGCCTGGCTCATAGAAGTCGACGAGGGGCCAGCCAGGACGCCCGGCATGGAGCAACCCCTACCGGACAGCATAGACATCCGGCGAGGAGACAGCTTCCTCATAGTGTGGGACCAAGGGGACTGGACCCTGGTTGAGAGAACAGTTGGGGACCTCTCCTTCCGCGGCGTGCTCCAGATCCCTTCCCCATGGAAGTGCCAGCCGAACTCCACAGGAACCCACGGGGATCCCTCCATGCCCCCGGAGTTCCCAAAGCCAGACCCCCCACTTGCACCCCCGGCCTCAACCACTGCCGCTGCCGACAGTGGAGACGACACGGAGCGAAGCTGGCCCAGCAGCGATGGCAGTGAGAGCGGAGGGCCACCAGAGGCAGAGGACAGAACGGAGCTCCTGCAAACGTCCACCACCACACCACCACAACGGTCGGCGGGGACCCCACATGACCCCCGGCACAACCACGAGCAACCACATCCACAACCACCACAGTACCACAACCACCTGGCAAGCCAAGGACCCGCTGGTGACTGCCAGTGCGCAATCCTGAACGGGAGCACCATAGCAGAGCGACAGCGAGTGCCCCAACAAGCACACAGACACAGCCAACAGAGCACGGGCAACCAGCAGCCAACCGAAGACGGACCAGCCGCAGTGTTTATGCAAACCAATTTGCACCTCCAAAGCAACGGCCAGCCCGAGCCCCAGCAGACTACAGGGGGTAACCAGGAGCAACCACAACCACAACCGCCACAGTACCACAACATCCGCCAGCTCCGCGACCTTCTACTACCGTCGAACGTAGCAACAGCAGCCGCAAGCTCCAGCAGACCAGGACTCCAGGGACCCACTGGCAACCTGGAGTGCAGGACAGCAGCACAAGACACCCATCCACCACCAAGGGGACCCGCCTGGCTCTTGCCAAGTGAAGAGACGCAAGAAGCAATGATGCGCACCATCCTGGCCATTGAAGCCGCAACGGCGGACTCTGAACGACCCCCCGCCATCCCTCTCCAGCCCACGGCAACTCAAGCAGACAGCGGAGAGACGACACAGCCTGCTAGTGAACGGCACTTTCCTACGGTCTCCAACGAAGCCGGCACCCGCAGCCATACAGCAGCAGCCAGTACTGCCATTCACTGCCGTACCAACACCATCGGGGCAACGGGAGCACCCCTGCATACGACAGAAGCTGCAGTCGGCCCACATCAATCACTACCACCACCGCATGGCGCTGACGACGGCATGCCCGCAGGCGGGCAACCGTCACCTAAAAAATCAAAAACTATCCCACGGGGACCCCTGGGAACCCGCCGCAGCAAGGGGAGGCTCAAGCAATGAAGCCACACCCTACATGGTCCTGCATGCGCAAGAACTCCTGCAGCAGTTGATGCCGACCCTGATCGGGGACCAAGTACCACTGGCCACAGAAGCTTTGCAACTGCTACAACAGTGGACCACGGCATTGTGGCGAGAGCCCATCCAACTAGTGCCGGAAGTGCCGGAGGAGGCAGAGACCTTGTTGTGGGACCCGCCACCGGCTGTTAGTGGACCCGCGCCTGCGCGTCTCGCATCTTTTGCCGGTTCGTGGGCCCGCTGCTCGTGCATGCCAACCAGCTGCCCTACTGCACGTATTGTCCGTTTTGCTGCTACGCAACCCTCCTTGTGGGCTGCCATCCAAGCCCAGCTGCAGCGCATCGCCCCTAAATGCGCCAGGAACCGTCCTTGCACCGATGGTTGCAGCATGCACAAAATCTCATTTGCAATCATTCTCCGCACATTTTCAGGCTGTCGCCCGAAACACCGACCCACCGTTGCAGCATTTGCGTTCGCAGCCGAGAGAGCCCAATATGCAGTTCAGCGTGAGCGAAAAATCCCAGCGACAGACCCTTGTGTGTGTGTGGGTTGCGCACGAACGGCAGGACAAGAACTGATGTAGGCAAGGGGTACTTAGACTTGAGAGAGCCCACCTAAGAGCTTTGATACCCCATGCCACGGCCGATTTCCTATCTCAAGGACCAGGCAGGACAAGGCCACCCTCACACTGCCACAGTCAGACCCTTCCCCTCGAGCCCATTGCTTTCCCAAAAGTGCGTTACACAAACCCTCATTCTCGGCTCCAATAGGGGGGGGGGTTGACTAAGCCCCATTCTCGGCGCTGCGAGCGGGCGTGACAGCTGATTCTTGGCTCTTTAGCAGCATTCCCGACTGATGGGAAACGCTTGCGTTTGTGTTTCTGTATGCAATCTCTGGACAGCCGTGTGCGGCAGATCAGCAGTAGAAGACTTGAGTAAATTAGTTTATCATTATTGAAATGAAAAAGAGCATTCCACAGAGTAGGCACCTCTTCACGTGCTTCTTTGGCAGGAACCGAGCTGTGAGGGTGGTCATGCCCCTTCTAGTAAATCCCGATGCCTCGCAACGGGCGCCGCCTAATTCTCCGCGACCCATTGTATGGAAACCAGACAAGTCCGGGTCGGAAATAGGCGGCCAGCTCTCACTCTCTCTCTCTGTCTCTCTCTCCCTCTCTCTCTGTCTCTGTGTGTCTCTCTCTGTCTCTCTGTCTCTCTGTCTCTCTGTCTCTCTGTCTCTCTGTCTCTCTGTCTCTCTGTCTCTCTGTCTCTCTGTCTCTCTGTCTCTCTGTCTCTCTGTCTCTTTGTCTCTCTGTCTCTCTCTCTCTCTCTCTCTGTCTCTCTGTCTCTCTGTCTCTCTGTCTTCTTCCTCTGGGCTTGAAGGGCTGTTTAAGCCCCTCGGCCACATGGGCCCCCCATATGTTATGGGGCTTTGTGGAGGGACGTGACAATCTCTCTCTCTCTCTCTCTTGCTTGCTTGCTTGCGAGGCGTGTGGGAGGGTAGGGGCAGCCCCTACACCCCCTGCGCGCGAGCGCTACGCCACTGTTCGTGTTCGGAGTGAGACTTTCACACGCGGCTCGGCCAGGTGGAGTCCCCGTAACACAAGACCCTTCCCATTCCCAGTGCCCAAACGCCAACATGCTCGAAGTACAGCAGTCCCTGCCTAGCCGAGCTCGCTTGTATCTGTGTTTAAGCTCGTAGGTATTCTACGGCTTCTACACTGCCCCCGAGCCAGTTTTCGATTGTCAAACGCATGCCAATATGAGGAGGACCTTAGTGCTACCACATAGGACGTCTTTGACTCTGGGCAAACTTTCTTGCTGGTTCTAGTGCTGGTTTGGTGGAGCTTATGTTGTGTGTGTCAGCGCGGGTCCCCCAGAGGACGCACCGTAGGGGGCGGGTGTAATCAAACACAATAGGGGGAGATCACACATTGCTTGGGTCCCCGCACTGTTGGTGGTGGTGGTGCTGTGGTGGGGCTCCAGTACGGTCGGGGCAGGAAGCAAAGCTGGGGTCAGGTAAAGCAGCAGTAGGGGAACGTCACTGGTTGCTGGTGCATGTGTGTGTGTGGTCGCAGCTGCCCTAAAAATTCCCTTTGCGGCGCAGGCCGGAGCAAAAACCACGAGGACCGTAACACAACAGCGCTGTATAACCTCATTGTGGCCTGGCTTGGGGATGATCCCCGCACTTAGTGCGGGTCGAATGCTGCATGCATTCTCCGTCTACGGTGTGTGGCCCTATCCTCCAGGCTCACGTCACTGTCCCCGTTCAGGCGATCTTGCTGTTGGGCACTTCTCCAGAATCGGGTCGAAGGCGGCGAGGTCGGATCCCCGGTTATCGTACGCCGGCGCCGCTGTAGGCCCCATGCTTCGTCTTCTGTGTCAGTGCCGGGGACATCATTGGCGTCCCATCCCTCGAAGGCTTCTCGTCGCATGGTTGTCATGGACCGTCTTCTTGCGTCCCCTTGCATCTCGGGCAGTGGTCCCGCTGCCTCTCCTGCCGGTCTCCGGCCACAAATCCAGCCAACCAAGTTGCCCTTGCATGAAGGGGCACCGCGCGGCCGTTGAGGCAAGCGACGAAACCATTGGTTCACGCGAGTTTGGAGTTTGTGAGTCGAGGGCCTGGAGGCAAAAACTCAAGCCCAAAGAGTGCACTGTTTGGCGAAGAGAACGGGCAGGTTTTCAGCTGCAGTCCAAGATGAACAAGCTGCCAGTTTGTTTTCTCCGAGGAAGTAAACTGTTTCAACTATCAACATGCAGCCGCCACCCTAACTTGATTTGAGCACAATACCAAAATACTTCTACGGTTTTACACCAGGCAATGAAACGACTACCTACATGGAATTCAGGGAGTCAGGCTCGCGCGCGCGCGCCCCTGAAACACATGCCCGCAGATTTTTTCCACGGACCTTTGTACAGCAGGGCAAGGCAAAAGTCTACAGCAAAGAGCGGCAAAGGCAGGTATCTGGAGCTCATTTGTGGCACGGGCACGGGACAGATTAATTGTGCAGCTCAGGGGGGAGGTGTGACTTGTTTGATCTTGTTCGTCAGTCTGTGCAGTGCAGCCTGGCTCAAGCACTATCGGCCCTAAGGCGCCAAACCTCTGTAGTGTGCTAGCTCCAGTGACCCTGGAAGTGCAATGGGTGTTCCATGGTTGCTTATCTTGCCTGTGGTGATTGCGGTTCGGCAGCAGGATCTTGATCTTGGGCCCCTCGACGTGATCAAAGAAGTCGCAAGGATGGCTGTGGGCGATTCGGACGCGGTGATCAGCTTCTCAGGTGACGCCTATGACCGCACCGCATTCTTTACAAGCGGAAGTTGGACGGCTCTTCCCGTGCCACTCCACAACGGCGATCTCACGATAGAAGGACCGCTGTTCCGAATCGTCAAGCTGCTGAAGTCGCGTGACATTCCCATATCTTGTCCAGTACAATGGGCAAACTTTGGCTGGGAGGTCTACCTCTCTGTCACAAAGCCGAAGCAGAAGGTGGCGGATGCTTTCACCGATGGTGCGCTGAAGGCCAACATCGATTTTTCAACCGTGGGTGGCCACTTGGAGCAGATGATGCACGTCAAGGGGCAAAGCCACGGCGAAGGTGCGGTGTTGGACATAGCTCAAACAGCTTCTGCGCTTGCCACAGGGGCAACGTCCACACCTGATGTCGCGAACAGCAACTTCAAGCACATCTTGGATCTCGTTCTTGCAACCAGTTTGCTGGTGAAGACATTGTCAAGGGAGGAGCGCGTCGTGCGCTTGAGCCTTGGGCAGAAGTACTACGAGAAAGGGGCCTATGCGCTATCGGTCAGTTGCTTGCAGGAGGACGTGGACAGCAGCCCGTACCTGTACATGCGGTACCCCGACAACAGAACGGTGCAGTTCAGGACACCGGCGCTGGCTGTGTCAATCCTCTCTGTTGCCTGAGGGGTGGCAATACATAAGTGTAGACGGTTCACACAGAGTCCTTTTTTTTTTGAGGTCTTGTCTGTCTGGCAATCAAGAGCTGGAAAGGCCATTAGGCCCCCACCTTATTGCATGGGACTGCTGGAGAGCACTCCGTGCTCAGAAATGCGGGCTGAGAATCTCGAAAGCTCCATCGGGTCACTGGACGGTAACAAGTGGTAGGAACCAGTAGGGCAAGTATACCAATCATCGCAGTGTCCGCTCCTCCGGCTCAAACTGACAAGCGGAGCTGTCATTCTCTAAGAGACACAGCATAAATGTGAAGCTTTGCTGCATTGACCGCCAATGGCCGGTCTTCTGGAGGACACCGGTGGAATCGGGCAGTTCTTCGCAGTGCTCTTCTGCGTCATGTCTGTTCACAGGACGGTGCGCCCGGTCCAAGTTTGGCCGGCGAGGCTTGGGGAGGGAGTGCTCTTTTAGCGCCTGAAAGCCTTAAATAGTAATAATAGTAAGAAGAAGAATAATAATAGTAATAATGGTAGCCTGAAGCCTCCTCACTCCTTTCCTGACCTCACAAAGGGAACCTTGTGCTTGGAGAGCGGCTTGCTCATCTCGCAGCCATTTGAGTCCCTCTGACGGATTGCGCCCGCACAGTCTTTTTGACTGGACCGGCCATGCTGCTCACGTGCGCCTTTGATAAATTTATGCTTACATAGGCTGCTTGGTAGGACTCGTCATGCTGATGGGTGGAGAAAGGCAAAGCTCTGTTGCAGTAGGCTACATTGTTTGTACTCCACTATGCAAGGAAGTAATTATGTAATATATTTAGTTGATAGTGAACAAGGGGAGCAGAGCATACCACGTGAGCTTCCATGCTACAGTGTTTTGTTTAATTAGTATAATTCTACAGTGTATTGTGATCTCGTAGAGTATACTGTGGTATGCTATGGTATGGTGCACTCTACTATACTGAGTATACTATGCTATCGCCAGCTGTGGTGATCGGAATTTACAAGATTGCGACTCAATTCGTGGAAGATTGGCTCTCAGGTACAGAGACCCGGTCGATCCAGTCGATGCCTTCCTTCTCGGACTCGCAGGCTGTGATACACTAGTGCAGATGGATTTTCACCCCAGCGCCGCGTGAACAGCTATGAACACTACTACGTCCACTACGTCTCCTTCTACCTCTACTGCTAGATGGGTAAAGAACCGCATGCCTTTGTTCGCCTGGCTCTTTATTTTGGTGCTTTGTGTTGTGTTGTGTCTTTCGTTCAGTTCGCACTTCCACTACACTATATTGTAACTGAACGAAACCCGCGACACAGCATTCCTCACATTATGTCCTTCACTTCTACCAGTTCAACAGCAGCAACAGCAGCACCAGCAACAACAGCAATACAGCAACAAGAACAACAACTGCAACAACACGAACACCAGCGATACCAGCAGTAACAGCAGCAGCAAATACAAGCAAGCAACTGCTAAAAGAACAGCAAAGGCAAGAACAACAAGTGCAACACCAGGAACAACAGAAGTACCAGCAAGAACAACAGCAACGACAGCAATACCAACAGCAACTCCAGCAGCAACAACAGCAACACCAGCAACGCCAGCAACACCAGCAACACCAGCAACATCAGCAAAAACAGCAACAACAGCAAAAACAGCAAGCACCAGCAACAGCAGTTTTAGCCAGAGGCACATAGAGTTGGTGGGGCGACACACGACATGCCAAGGTTAATGTTGGGCAAGGGGAACCAGTTCCACAAAACCGGGATATTTAGTGGATCGCGCAAGGTCTCGACCCTACCTGCCAATCTTAACGTGCCGCAAGGAAACGCAACTCAAGTTTCAGGCGGAAATTGGCTGAAGGGATTCAGGGCTTGGTGCATTGCAGTCCCTGCTAAAAAAAAGGCGGAAATTGGTGCCAGACCACGCGGTGAGAAATTGTAGTAAATGAGCTTCAAAAAGATTTGGCAGCACAGTTCAGCCTCAAACACACAGTCTGTCATCGCGTGTCCACGTGAATATCATTGGTAGCGTTGTGCTAACTGTTAACTGTTAACTACTTTCCAATGCTATTATGCTACGTGAATGCTAAGGTATTCGAGTTGTAGCAACACTGTCACACACACATACACTGTTGCAACATGGAGAGGCTTCCAACTGGAAGCTGCCCGCAACCGTTGTGGGCCGCGCCGCCGACGACTTGCCTGCGCCTGTGTCTTCGGCTGCACTTCGCCAGGGTCTGTGCATTTTGTTTCTCTGCCGTCCGAGGCAATCGTGGGTTTTCTGATTAAGAAGAGGCAAAGCTTGGAAGTGTTGTGAATTCAATCGTTACCTCTGTTCTGCCAGTACTTCTTCGTTCCACTTCGCAGTCTGTAGCATTCTTCCGGCTGCTATTGCTGGTTTCAACTGTCATTCTTGAGGTAGCTATTGTTGCTATTGCTACTTGATCGCTTAGTTAAGCGAATCCGATTGTGAAGGTACGTTGTAGGAAGGCGTGTGCATTGCCGGCAGGGCGACACTAGGTACAGAAGGATGCTTTCCTTCTCGTTCGGAACGACGGAAGGTGGACCACGAACACATGGTCATATTATGCATGGGGCAATCTATTTTCCAATCTCGAAGAAAGGATGTTTTATCAAGATCTGCACTATCCGTTGACAAGACAAGCACGTAGCTTTTTGTTAGTGCTCAACAAAAAATGTGGGTTTGAGTGGTTTCCTATTGAAATCCTTATGAAAGTGTCAAGGGCAGAATGAAGATTCATTTCATGCTCAGGTCGCGGGAAGTCGTTGATTTCGTCCGAAGGGGAAACGGAAATTTGGAGTTTAGTGAAAAACATCACGCGGAAATCGTTGATTTTCAATTTCAATCGAGGAGAAAGATTGTTTGTCCTTCCACCACTTCTATTCTTGAATTCCATGTTTTGGGCAGCCTTCCCAGAATTGTTTTCACACAGCAAAGCGTTTTTGGTCTAGAGCTTGTACTCATACCTAACCGTTGTTGTGGTGGCAGTGGTCGTCAGTGGCAGGGTGACCGTCGTTGGGCAGTTGCGGTAGCAGGTAGGCAGGCAGGTAGGTAGGCGGTTTCGACTTTCATAATTTGGGGTGTGGAAGTTGAGGGTCAGGCCCACATGCAGCACCTGATATTCGTAGTCGTCATCGCAGCTGTCATGGCAGTAAGATTACTAGCACCGACATCAAGACAGCATGAAACCACTGACGCTGCAAGGCCCTCTACCTTTCCCCTCCGAGTTGCTTTTTCACCGCACCAAGGCAATCTTAACTCCAAAGCACCGAGCCCCAATGCCACCTGCTTGAAGCCCTTGGATGAGGAGCCCGGCGAGGTCCAGACGCTGCAGGCAACGGAGGACATCAGGGTCACATGGGGTTCTTCTCTCGGCTCCAGGGGTTGAATGCTTTTGGGAACTCGAGGTTTCTTGGGGTTGAGGTGCCGGAACAAGCAATCAAATTGGACGCCTTGCATCGTGCTGAATGCGATGTATGTGAACTTTCTGCCACTTTTGGCCTTTGGGCCAGGGCGCCGTAGACCTCGGATACGTGTCATTTCATCCCTGGAAATGTTTCCACAGGAGCGAATGGCTCCTTGGAAGAGCCTGTGGCTTGTGAACTACCTGGTGTTCCTGTGGCTTGGCAGTTTCTGAAACTTGGTAGGCAACCCTTTGTGTACAACAGCATGTTCCAGTACTTAACATGGCAGCACGACAAGGTGATGCTTACGTGAGGAACAGTGTATTGGAATTTATGATGTGGCGAAATGTCCAGCAGGTGTTCTTGGCCATGGGAGCTTTGAGAAAAGGAGTTTGGGAGGATTGCGCAGTGGCTGGTCCTGAAACCGTACCCTAAACCTTCAAACCCTAAAGTCGAAACCCAGGCTGGTCCTGAACGTAGAGATTGTGGTGCCGACAGCCGACCAGTACGCGCAGACGCTGGGTGCTGGTGAGACCTTCAGTGGCCTGGTCCAGAGTCCAGAGTCTGCTTGAAGAGCATTATTCCGCGGTTAGCAGTGTGGTAAAATACTATAGTATTTTTTAGTGGTATATAATACTATAACAGATTTCTATAATACTATAATGTTATAATACCACATGTGTATTATGATATTATAATAAAATAGCTATACTAATGACCATTGTTCGTGTGAGACCATGTTGTTGTCCTTCCAGTTTCGGACCGGGCAGAGTGGATTTTACCAAAGCTGTTTGGAGGGGTCGTCAGGGGTTGCTGTGCCCCCCTCTTAATCAGAAACTTGCCAGAAAGGATCCCATGACTTAACCCCTACTGCTCGTGAAGTAAGTATAGTTTAGTTGGCTGTGGGAGGCAGTACTTATCCTTCACTGGTCGATGCTGTAGTCTGTTAGTTCTGTGTCCTTGCTTGCCCACGTCAACCTTGAACCCCGGGATGGGGTAACGTTCTGGTTGGGCCAGCATCCGGAGATTGTCTTCTGGCCCTGTAAAGGGGCCGCGTCGCCAGAGAAAAGTCCGAGGGCATGGGTTCACGCAGAAAAAGCCCAAACCCTAAACCCTGCGAGTGTAAGCGTCGAGACCCTAAACCCTAAACCATCCTATACCCTTAAACCATCCTAAACCCCAAACCCTAAACCCCTAAACCATCCTAAACCATCCTAAACCCTAAACCCCAAGCACAGCCCAAGTCCAGGTGGCCTGGTCATTGCCCTGACGCCCTTCTTCCAGGGCCTGGTTGGTATCCCGCTGAGCCTCGGCATGGTCATGGGTTGAAAAACCCACTCCAATGCTCTCAAAATCCTGAACAGTGGTGCAGCATGTTAAAAAATATGTAAGGAGTCGTATCTTAGTTGAGCCACAGCCTAAGAAGCGACTCTTATACAGTCTGCAAGCAAACCACCTTACGGAGGCAGTGGGAAATTAGCACGAATCTTACTGGGATTCTCCGACTTGGTGCTGGAACGTGTGGCAGGCTGGCGGGTCATGTTATAAGATCTTCCTCTGAAGATCTTTTCAGGCAAGTCAGCTACCAGCCTAACCTAGGCTGGCGGGTCATGTTATGAGCTCTTCCTCTGAAGATCTTACCAAGTCAACTACCAACACAGCCCCGCTGAGTGCTGCAACGTAGGCAGGCGTCGGGTTGGAGCATCAAGGCGACAAATGGCTTTCCTACTCTGTACTATACTGTATTTTGCCATATTAAACTAGACCATGCAGTATTATGCCACACAGAACTTTACTATAATATACTATGCTACGTTACAGTCGCATTATGAGCCCGACACCTTTCGGGTCCATTTAACTACCCTTTTTTGTATTGTAATCATCAAGTCCTAGCTAAATGCTATTATCCAATATATGCACATATGCCTAGCTGAATAATCTCTAGCTATATCATATATTCTACAACCCCGAACCCTGTGCATCTGATGAGCTCATGGATGTGGCACAATTGTTCCTAGCCATTCGAGTCCACACTTCTGAGAAACATGTCACATGTTTCATATCCGAAAAAACTGCGATGTTATCGGCGTCATGGAAAGCAGCCTAGCACACAGTGTCGCAAGTCATGCTTCGTCACGAGTGTGTTCAGAAGTTAACTTCTCACTCCACAGCAGGGCTTAATGATGTTGAGCTAGTGATTGTAGCTGAATGATCGTTATATCCACGCTCACGCAAACTTGTGACCCTTTGCTTCTGCAAGCATATTGCCGACTCTCTTCAGGTATCCAGTCCATGGCAATAGATAACGTCTAGCTTATCCTTGGAGGTCGACTAGAGCTTCGATCGAATGACATATAAGCAGTTCTTCTAGAACTACGCAAGTATTCCACCTGTGTTGCAGACGTATTCATTCTATACATGGTCAGACATTTCAATTGTAGCTCGCCAGCGACGCCCTTCGAAACTAGGCCAGGCATCGACGTCTGTGCAGCTGCACATCGTGACGCTGCCTCCCTAAGCAAACAGTATCGCTCTACCATGCTGAGATAGCATGTGTAGCCGAGCAGATGATCTCAAGGAAAGGCGCCAGCATTTTGATGTTAGTCAATCATGCAGAGATAGCCAACATTCATCATCAAAACCCCTGCGAGAACACAGTGATGTATCGGCGACATTAGTGCGCGCTGCATGCATCTGAGAGTCGCAGAGTCGCAGATATCTGTCAACATACTGCATCCGAGAGTCCAACATACTCTCGGTCGCGCCACATCATCACCTGACCAGAACCAGGAAAAAGTATTTCGTGCTTTTCGTGATCATTGCAGAACTGGTATGCAAGCACCTATAAGCTTCTCGCGTTTTATCGAGTCCAGCAGCCATCACACCTTTAGTGTAATTTCACGCCAGAACTACGCAGCGTGTGCATTCGCCGCACTGATAGCGGCGTGACATGCCGCTTCTTCATGGGACTAGTCCGCTTGGAAGCCGAGGGCTTCTTCATGACCCACTGCCGCACTCGTGCAGCTTCATGTTTTCTCGCATTCGTTAGAGGAAGAGAAGCCTTCGACTGAAAGCCATCTGTTTGCTGTTCAGCACACCAAGTCGCCCAGTCATGTGGTGTCCATAAGGATTCATGAAGAGATCTGCCCAACAACATGCTGGCACTGACTGTGTGGGTCATGGGATGCACCGTCGACAAGTGATGCTGCAGCATTTTTATGTAATGGTAGAAGCGCAATCGCAGGGCTAAAGTGGACCGATGCATTGTGTTGGTGCTGCGGGACCAGGAATTGAGCTCTGCGTGTAGAGCTTCATTGCTCGAAGTTCCCCTCGGCAGAAACTTCACGTAGGATCTCCTGATGCGTTGTCGAGCGCGGACATTATTCATCAACCACTCGAGCCTGTCCGGAGCGCAGGAGGACCATAGAATCTTGTAGATCTCCTTGTTTGGTCCCGCTGCTTTTCGTTCGACTTCAGTCCGATATCGTTGACATAAAGCAGCAATACACTTGATGAACTCCAATCGAGAGTAGAACGGCAGGTCCGTTCTGAGACTGTCCAAGACGTTGTTGGCAGTGCGGTGAGGCATCGAAAGATTCAGAATCATAGCTCGATACTTCTCCTCTTCTCGGTTCAACGGTCTGGACATGGTGCCGTCATAGTACGAATTCCATTCGTAATCTTCCAGCTCCATGTCGACGTTGACACACTTGGTGAGGATGCGACGCAGCTGCTTCGAGCCTGCACTTCTTTTATTCCAGAAACCGTACTCGTACACGATCGCGAGATGGATTGGATCCAACATGAGACAGGCGAGCCTGGGACAAATAACTTTTAAGTGGGTGTACAGCTTTTCAGAAGGACTGTCGGTTGCGACATGAACGATCCGGCCAAGCTGATCGACAGTAAAGTTGTCTTTCAGGACGTCAACCAGCTGCTCGGACGACTCATTCTGAAGAGGTTGTAGAAGTAGGACAGCACCAGTGCGACCTCTGACTGTCAGAATCCGCCGCCAGGCGGTGTCGTCTCCGAAGGGCGCAGCATCTCGTCTGGCTTTCGAGGCTCGATAGGACTCTTGTCCCAGGAGTTTCAAGCAGACCTTGATGGTTGCATCCATGCTCACATAGTGCCACTCATCGTTGGCCTCCATTGATTTTGTCATGACCGCGATTTTGGCACAAAACGCGGTCGACGAGGAAATATCCTCTAGAATAGGAAGCCAATGTGAGCTGAATGTAGGCAACAGCGTGGAGAGCTTATTGCCACTCTCCAGAGCAGCCATATGACACCGGGTCGCGATGGCTCGCACCTGGCTTCTACGACATGGCATACTTATTAGGATGCACGCTTGCTTACGTCGCCTAGGCTCACAAAACGGTCGAGACCGCCCGCCTGTGCATGATTCAGCACTGCTTCTCGAAGAAGCAAATCTGCATAGGAATGTGTATAGTAGATGTTCCTGACACGTCTTAGCTCCATATCGTTTCTCAAAGTCAACAGGTTGACATAACGAGGGCCAGCTGCATCGAGAACCAATCGTATATGCTTGTCGACATGATTGATGCGGTGGTTCAGCGGTGGAGTTACAGTACTCCGCATCAGCGCAGCACTCCTCTGCAAAAGCTCACATGCTGCCAACTGTGACGAAGCCGCGTGGTCGTACAACGCCAAAATGACTTTGATCTGTTTAGTACCAGAGCAAACATACTGGTTGGATTCCACATGATGCTTCTCCAAGTGCGTGCGTAGTTGGCGTAGCTGTGCAAACGATCTGAAAGGACACAACGGACACAGTCGTCGACCATCAACTCTACTGGACATCTTGCGGGGATCCTCTAAAACTTCTTTGGTTTCCTGGCGGAGCATGGTCAGGATTCCATCGGATACAAAGGCATTATCGTCTTCGTCAAAGGAAAATTTGCTGGGCATTCCAGACGGGCCGTCGTCTTCAAGTGATTCCGACTCCTCAGATGCAGCACCGGCCACCATGTCCAGCAGTGCAGCAAACTTGCCATCTAACTTGTCCTGCGGGTCGCGCTTCCAATAGCAGACGACCGTAGATGTGTCCACTGCCGCTGCGCAGATTTCAGCCAGCAGACGAATAGACAGTTTGTAAACACTGCGACCGTCCAAGACAGTGGCTGTTTTGGTCGATGCATCGAGCCGAACGGCAACGCAATGCGGTGAACCGGTGCCTTCATAGTGCAGCATGTAGGATTTGACATGCGGCTGAGGCAATCCCACACAGGCGACGAGATCCACATCACACATCTGAGCCATGGAGCGATAGGACCTGTACTTTGTTGTGCCGACATTGGCGTTCTCCGGCAGGTCCTTGTTCCCGATAGCTGCCACAATCGATTGTCGAGATAGTGGAACGATGTGCCAGAGACCGCACGGCACGCAATTCCCCGGCTGGAGCAGCTCCGTCGGGACGTTGGACAAGTTGTTAGCTTTAGTTCCCCGCTTCTGTAACAACTGGCTGAAGCAGTGGTGTGTCTTGGCGACGATCGTCACATTGAATGATGTAGCTTTGGTGATCGCCTCCTGACATCCCTTGATGTAATCCTCCATGTCGGAGATGAAGTCCGACGACACGCGAATGCCATCGAAATGAAGAGATAAATGCCTTGGCTTCGTTGGCCCTGCCAGCACGTGTTCTGTCCACGCATGCAGTATTGCATCTTCTACCGAATGCCACATGAGAGACATGATTGTTGCAGAAGGAAATTCCTTCTGTTTGCTGTCCTGCAGGCTCATGTAATCACTGTACAGGATATTGCAAGCCACCCAGCGGACGTACAGAGACAGCTTCTGCAATTTCTTGATACGACTGTGACCCTTGAGTTCGTCTGGAGGACTGCCACCATTGAAAACAGTGTTGATGAGCTCCTTGCCCCCTACGAGGTGGAGATCTAGTTCAGACAAGAAGTCTGTTCTTCTCTGTACGATGTCGTCCAGGAGAGCCGCCAACTCTTCAGGCAGAGCCGGCTGCGGCTCCAGTTTCTGGAGTATCTGCTGCACGAGCGTAAGGCAGCAGTTGGAGATGTCGAGGTCCGTGGTGTGTCCGTCTACAACATGAACCTGCAGTCGTCTCGATATTGACTGCGCGCCACCCTTCTCAGCATAACGTCGAGCGGCGATGCTGTAGGACTGCTTGTCACTGTAGCGATACTGCACACTTTTGCTGGACTTGCTGGACTGCCACTCCGTCTGGTCGTCTTGATGTAGGAATCCCTGCTCTTCCTGTGATGTCTTTCCTGTCATGCGTCTCTTTTTGGGCAGAAGTACAGCCAGGATGCTGTCCTCATGATCCTCCAACTTTTGAATGATTTTTTGATATTTGGTCAGGACCTCGTCCTGCTCCAAGGTTCTTCGTCCCTTGCGGGCTGCAGGCATCATGGACTGATAGTAGATCTTCAGGTTCTCCGCGTTCATCAGTCGTCCCTTGCTCTGAAATGCATATTTCTTGAGCAGTCCCAGATCATGCTCCTCCTCGAAGTCCATTCTAGTCTTGTGATCGTCTTGATGACATATGTCCGCAAATTGCTTCTTGAACTTGAACAGGGGAATAAAAGCACCAGGCTTTTCCTTGCTGGTCTTGCCTTTCATGATAGCTGGTCGGACGACATCGTGCTGCGTCATCTGGTCCCACATATCAGCCTTCGACAAGTTGGGGTGCTTGTCTGGTTTGAAGGTAATCTTCTTGAACTCATAGAATGTCACGTGAGACAGGTCGCTGGCAAGCATGTGCTCCACCAAGAAGCTGCGAAGGTTTTCCCATTCCACATCTTTTTCTTCTCTTTCTTCCTCACTTTGAGCATCCGCTTCCAGAACATTGGCCAGGCCGTCTTCCTCCTGTATCTGCCGTTGTCGAACTGGTAGGCCACATGCATTCCTCATCGTGTCTTCTGTCAGAAAACCATCGCCGCCGTTACAATAGTCTTCTATCAGCTGATAACAGTCATCTTTCGTATGATCTCGTTCGAAAGCCCATTGTAGTCTGAGGCCTGCAATAGATGCTTGAGACGTACTCAGGAATTTGCTCAGGCTTGGATCTGCCTCGAAGATGCCGTCCTTTTTGTGGTCCGGGTATTTGGACAAGAACTTCTTCTGAACAAATCTGGCCTTAGACTTCCACACGAACGACCGCCTGAACATGGAGTGGAAGCTGCTGGCCCGAACTCCTATGAATTGCATAATTCGATTCATTTCCAGCCTTGTCCATCCGATCATCCGGAACATGCTGGTACTGTATCCGTACGGTTTGCGCCCCATGATGCCATCTCCCGAAATAGTTTTTTTGTAGAGATCTATATGCATCTTTTTGCTTGTTTCGGGGGCTTCTTGTCCTGTTAATATGAAACATCGCGCGAAAGACTCAACCTGCTTCCGCAGCTCCTCGTCCAGGTGCCATATGTTCGGATCAAAAAATGCATGGTTCTGTTTGTACATTTCGGATAGATGCAGCGAGTACAGGCTTTGTCCCACTCCTCCAGGCGATATGCCTATAAAGCATCTGTCGACATTGTACCCACGCTTGGCAATGGCTGCAGCTGCTTGGAAACACCTGATTACGTCCAAATTACACCAGAAGGTCTGCTCGTAGAAGAGTTGCAAACGCTCCTGGTTGGCTTCCATGACTGGGTCCATTAAAGGATGAGGAACTCTCACATAACAGTTGTTGTGTGGACCTTTCTTCACTGCATCTATGGGATGTGGAGAACCGGGCCGATCGTACATGAAACAAACGTCATCATAACAGATGGCGGTGGATCTCTGATCTTCTGTTTCGCACCATTCAACCAGAAGAGAAATCATCCGAGTATGCATGAGTTCCTGTCTTATGTTGCAAGACAACTTCCACGCTTTTTCTGCCATCTCCATGGTCCAAAGCTCATCTGCTGAATCGTGCTGCGGTGCGGCCTTGTCGTCCTGGTGCTGCTCCAGAGTTTCGTCGGCGTCCAGCCTGGGAGGATAAGCCGCTGTTTTTTGTCGGAGGTTTGTAGCATCTCTGCATGCCTGTAGGAATTCATCTTCATTCTCGAAGGATTGTAGATCTGCTGTTATGGCCCTGGCCACTGAGTCACCTTTTCGAGAGATCTCTGGCCTCATGCGTCGGAACAGACCCTCCAAGCATGCGAAGAAACTGTAAACTCGCTGCAGCACTGACTCCGGTGGAATTCCGCTGAAGGGAAGAAAACATCCATCATCATCGTAGATGTAAAGAAAGCCTTTGTGAACCCTCAGGTGCCGATCTCCCTCCACCATCCATGTAAGAGCAGCTGAGTCTGGCAGCATTGGCTTGTCCGACACTTTGCCCTCGGCCAGATGTGCTGCTACGAGGATCAATCGACAGACTTGCGCGGATAAGTTCGGGAACTCGCGACGAAGCTCCGACAGCATGGCTCTGGTGTTTCCCAGGATCGTGTGTCGCTTGACACACACATCTGCTGAATACGAGTCCAGGGCGTCGGCTAAAATTTCATGGCACCTGGCGAACATTTTTTTGCAGTTCACCGAGTGCTCGGCGGCACCGGGCAAGAGTCGACGCTTCTTGGAGGCATGAGGCTCGTCGTCTGAGAGATTCTCCATCATAAGGTTCTCTAAGTCTTTCTCCAAATCGTCCTGAGTGTCCAAGCGTGCAGCCTGCGAGGCTCCAGGCAGTGACAAAGATGGCTGCTGCTCCATGTTCTGTCGAGCTTCTTGACTTGGCCGAACGGCTGGCGCAGAGTCTGTGGCATCTCCCGGTCCCACATCCACTGAATTCAGTTCCATTTCGTGCTGCATGTTATGAGCCAGCAAGGAGTCCCGGCGACTCTGCATGAGCTGGGACACCTCAGCTTGCATATCTGGCACATCGTCCACAAATCCATCTGGCAGATAGCGGGGGTGGATGCAGATGACCTTCATGTCGCGCACCTTGATTCCGTAATATTTTTCCAGAATCCATTTGTATATATTAAGCTGCAGTCGATAGTGATATCCTTGGCAGTCCGGAACCTCGTGGAGGGGTGGCTTCATAGCTCTGCCAAAGCTGTTGTAATTGTCCCGAAGCTTTTCGCTTCGTTTCCAGTCCACGAGGTAGTAGATGTCCTCATCCTTTTCTTTGAGAACGAGGTCGATAGAGCCCGCCACGTCCTCGTCCACTGCATAAATACACCACTCGGTGCGGTACACTTCTACGGACTCCATTTGAGATAGAATGCAAATTGCAGCGTTCAGCTCTCCCTGCATGCGGTTCGCTCGGATCATGTAACCATTCAACAAACGCTCCAGCAT